GAGTACAGAGGGTCTCCCCACAGGGCAGCCATCACACTAAGAGGCATTTAGGGTTTTTGTCCCAGTTCTGCTGGGCTCTGGGCAAGATGGGGTGGGGCTGGGCGAGAAGGAGAAGGACCCTCAGGCCCTGGGGGGTGCTGGGCACTCGGGGCTCAGGGCACAGAGCTCCCTGTCCCCTCCTTTTGGCTCTGAGGCAGTGCCGGCTGCAGTGGGAAGGAGCCTCTGACTGATGTTTTTTTTAACCACTTGATCATGATCAAAGATTTAATTTTATCCCCTTCCCTGACTGGCTCTGATTCTATTTGGAGTGTAAGCAGGAGCGCAAAGGAGGGTCCCTGGAACACAGGACTTCCACCCCCAGGCTCTGCGAGTCCCCTCCCTGCCTGTCCAGCCAGGACAAGTTCCCTCCAGGTTCGGGAAGGCGAAGGGGCTCCTGCCCCCCACTCTGCAAAGCTGCTCAGCAAAGAGGGAGGCCCAGGGGTGGGGGCTGGGAGCAGGAGGCAGCTCCTGCCTTAGCTTCTTTCAAGGGATCATCTCAGCTCTTTCATCCTCATCAAAAAAAGAGTTGAACAAGCATCTGGTTGAACCTGGGGCTGTGCTCCTCCTTGCCAGGAGCTGCAGACAAGGCCTTGCTCTGAATGACTTGTAAGCAGAGAGGATGGGGGTGGGGACACCATGGTGGTGACTTAATGATGACCATATGCGCTGACCACCCACTGTGGGCGGGTCACTCGGCTAAGCTTGTCATATCCATCATTTTACTAATTCTCAGCAACAGCCTCATGGGATGCTCTCGTTTTTCCCTTTTTCCAATAGACAATTTGTCCCAAGTCACACAGCTGCCAAGTGGCAGATCCAGACTTCAACCCCACCAGCCAGAATGTCTCCCCAGTCCCCAGGTACATAAAGACATGAAGATTTATACTTCGGGAGTGAACAGTCTAAACCAAGGTCAGGCCCTGGCCGGTTTGGCTCAGCGGTTAGAGCGTCCGCCTGCGGTCCGGAGAGACCCGGGTTCGGTTCCCGCTAAGGGCATGTACCTTGGTTGCAGTTTGTCCCCGGCCCTGGTTGGTCGTGCGGGTGGCAGCCACTCGATGTGTCCCTTTCACATCGATGTTTCCCTCTCTCTCTCTTCCTCTCTCTCCCTCCCACACTGTCTGTACAAAAAATGGAAAAATGTCCTCGGATGAGGATTAAAAAAAAAAATAAATAAATAAATAAACCAAGGTCAGGAGAGAATAATGTTCAACCAGGGTTTTATTGGGTTCAAAGCAACTTTTGTGTTGAGTTTGTTAAAAGTACAAATGTTTTTACTATTATTCCCATTTTACAGATGAGATCATTAAGGCCAAGAGCTGCCCAAGGGCACAGAGGTCACAATAGGGAAGCAGGTCAGAACTCTTTTGCCAACCTCACCTGGCTGCAGGTGTATTCCCAGGCTGGATGGCCAGGTGTCAGCTGTGACTAGGAAGAGTTGTACAAAGTGGAAAAGCAGCTTATTCTAGAACAACCAGCTTAGCCTGGAGGACGGCAGGGTCCCCACCAGGAGCTGGTGGGAGGCCAGCTCCATGCCATCTGGGAGGGTAGCAGCTTCATTCAGATGAGGGCTGTCCCCAGGACCCATCGGGAATTGACCCACCTGACAGATATTTGTTCCAAATGGACTACAATGGGGCACGAAGGCCTTTGAGATCAGGGCCAAATACCAGACTGGTCCTGGGAGTCACCGGGCTGGCAGGGAGAGGGTGCTGGGCACCTAGTGATCCAGGATTTCCCCCCACCCCTCTCCACTCCCTCCTGTCAAAGCGGGAAGTGGCTAGCGTCTGGGTCAGCCAGCCTGGTTCCAGTCCTGGTTGTACCACACTGACCTCTTCCAACTACGTAACCCCATTTCCTCTCCTGTAAAATCACACTGACCTCCCACGTGACTGGAGAGGGTGTGGACCAAGTGCTCACACCTGCACACAGGCAGCACCCGGTTCACACTCACTGTGTCCGCACTGGGACACAGAAACACCTGCTTAAGAGATGTTTGTGGCCCTGGAGGGGTGACTCAGTTGGTTGGAGCATCATCCCGTACACCAATGGCTTGCAGGTTCGACCCCTGGTCGGTGCACATATGGGCAGCAACCGATTGATGTTTCTCTCTCTCTCTTCCTCCTTCCCTTCCACTCTTTCTAAAAAATCAGTGGAAAAATATCCTCGGGTGAGGATGAACAAAAAACACACACACCAGAAAACCCCACATAACCTCGGGCGAGGATTTATAAGTAAATAAAAGAAAGATGTTGGTGAAAACCCACCTCCTTCCATAGCCAAGGCCAAGGGCCAGGACGCAGAAACCCTCCGAGGCCCTAGGTCTGAAGTCATCCCCTAGGGCTGTGCAGGGGGTGGGGCTGCCACAGGTGTGTACACAGGGCAGCCCCCTGTCGCAACTCTGCTCCTTCCCTGGGGACTCAGCAGGGTGGGGCTCAGCTCCCATCACCGGCAACAGTTCTGACCTCCCTGCCTGAAGGACTGGCCAACCACCCCTGGGAAACCATCGGGGAGGGGGTGCTTCCAATGTCAAGGAAAAAAGTGAAAGCACTTCACTGCCCTTGTCTTTTGGGGAGGCCTTTCTTTAAATTAGGACTAGCAGCCAGGGTCCCCCAAGCCCCACCTGCCCAGTTTCCTAAATACCCACCTGTTGTCCCAGAAGAGAAAGTTCTTTCGTTGGACAGAGAAGTGTATTCAGAACATGGCCTGGGAGTTAGTTTGGGCCCATCTCAGTCTCCAGGACAAGGAAAGGGATGGGTGGGCACGAGCAGCAGAGAGGGGGGGAGGGGAGATGGGAGAGAGGACCGGCCTGGGAAGGCAGGGCAGGTGGGTGGTATCGGGGTCTGCTGGGGCGCCCGGAGCTCCTGCCCCCACCACTCAGCCAGGTGCCACGGAGGGATCGTTTTCGCTGCTACAAAGGGCCCTCCCTGTTCACAGGCTGGAGCAGCCTGGATTCTCACAGTGGCTGTTCACCTGTGGGGACAGGGCGATGAAGCACTTCATTCATTCTCCACCACCCTCCCCCGCCCAGGGCCGGGAAGCACCAACAAAGGCAGGGTGCCCTGCCTCCGCTCTCAACCCGTCTGGCCTCCGCAGCCCCAACCCTGCCTGTTGAAGTCCTCACTGGCCCTGAGGTCTGCCTGCTGTGTGGGCTGAGGGGCCCTGAAAGACCCAGCACTGCCCCCGGTGCTGTCCCTTTGCCTGCTGAAGTGTCCCAAGTCATCTACTTCCCTCCCGTTAGAGGCCAGCTCTGGGAGGGCTCCCGCTCTCAGCTCCAGTCCCAGGGTCTCTGGGTGCGGGCGAGTAGGACCGGGCCGGCCAGCCCCTCCCTCTCTGCGAAGTAGCCCAGATTAGAAGAGCCCATTAATTCCAAGATTAACTACCGACAGTGCTGGGGTGGAGGGGGGGACTTCTACACCTAATGTGAGCCCTTGATATGTGTCTGTCATTTTTGGTTCATGTAGCTTGCTCTTTCTTTTCTTTTCTTTCTTTCTTTCTTTCTTTCTTTCTTTCTTTCTTTCTTTCTTTCTTTCTTTCTTTCTTTTCTTACCTTCCTTTCTTTTCTTTTCTTTCCTTCTTTCCCCCCTTCCCTCCCTCCCTCCCTTCCTCCCTTCCTCCTTTCCTTCCTTCCTTCCTCCCCTGTTTATCTATTTACTTAATCCTTACCCAAGGACATGGTTAGAGAGAGGAAGGGAGGAAGAGAGAGAAATTGATTGATTCCCTTCTGTATGCTCCCCAATTGGGGATCAAACCCACAACCAAGGTATATGCCTGGGAATTGAACCAGCAACCTTTCGGTGCACAGAACAAGGCTCAACCACGGAGCCACTCCGGCAGGGCCATAGCTGTCTTTCCTTCAATAACTGTCAACTCCATCCTGGAAAGGGAAGCTAGAGGAAGGCGGGCAGACAGTGAGGGATGGACAGGTGAAGATGGAATGCATCTCTTGTGAGGCAGTGCGTCCCCCAGGCTATTCAGGCAAAGGCGGGACAAGCCCTTTTCGGAGATGCGTCAGCGGGGACTCACACACCTGGCCACTGCACGGGCTGCTGGACAACCCAGTGTCCGTCTCCACGCTAAGATAAATGATGGCGATTGTGCCATCTGTCCCCGTATTCTATAAACCCACAGCATTTAGCACCCAGTGGAACTCTTTGAAAAGGACATAGTAGTGAGTCTATGTAATTAGCAAAAAAAATTGAGTAGAAATAAAAATTCTAGAAAATGCTTCCAAAGCAAACATTCCTAAAGCAGAAATGACTTGGGCCTCCAAACTTGCCGTCCACCGGAACACCGACACAGCTCGCTGCTGGGAGGCTCTGTAAGAACTACTGCCACCACGCGGGCGGCTGGCGCCTGGACAGAGGGGTCTCCACGGGGGTCTCCACCTGCGGATGCGCAGCGTCTGCCCGACAGCATGCAGCGAGGTCCTCGGAAGACTGCGCACCTGTCCAGTCAGGCGGTGTGTGGAACCTCCAGGTCAGAAGGCGGCTCGGCCTTCCTACAGACCGTCGGCTAGGCTGGGCCGACTGCAAGTTCTCCCGAACCCCGAGCTCCCTCCGGCTTGCAGAGAACTGAACTGCCATGGTGTCTCCGTCCCTCCTCGGTGGGGAGGCCCGGCAGCCCAGCCAACGTGATGCGTGGAGTCAGCAAGGGCACCGACTCCAAGGGACACACAGTGCACACAGCAAGCTATTAAAAATCTTTATTGCTAATTTTTTCTCCAACAGATATATTTTAGTTGAAATAGAAGCCACGGCATCACTTTCACTTTTCTTCTTCAGAAGATGAGACAGATCAGGGCGACCACTGTTACAAGAGGGAGGCCCATGACCTTGACGAGGACAGGCAGGGGCAGAGGACATGGGCCCTCTGTGGGAGCTACAGGTTCAGAGAGGGGGTAACCCGCAACACTGGCATCTACACCTGAGGGCAGATGTTACAACCTGGGGGAAGGGGCTGCAGGCCACTGAGCCGAGTGAGTGTGCTTGTGAGTGTGGGTGGGTGTGCACGTGTGCTCACACATGCACACACACTGCCGCCCCACCCCTTGGGAGGAAGATGCTCTGAGGCCCCCGCTGGGGTCCCCACAGTCCCTGTTCCCTGGGGATCAACAGTCTTTGCAGTGAACAGTCAGCAAACCAGGGCCAAGGGCCGTGCGCGGAGGAAGACACGGCGCTCAGGTGACACTCAAGTCCTCCTCCTGGGGTCAGACTCAGCACAGCGTGGACGTCCCCTGACCGTGGGGCTCTCCAGGCTCCTGCACTCCACGCCGGCCCCACGCCCTAAGAAGAGGGAACGGCTGAGAGTCTTCTCCCAGCTCTGCAGGGGCAAGAACGGGCTTTACTTTCGGGAGAGGGTGGAGGCTTCCCCTCCCTGAGGTCTGCATCTTCCTCGGCCTCCTCATCCGGAAGCCACTCCTGGGACAGATGAGGGGAGAGGGCAGGCTGCCTCCTGGGGGAGGGGGAGGGCAGGTGGGAAGACTTGGGGTGCTCCCAGCCATTCGAAGACTGGGGCTCTGCAATGTGTTTCTGGGGCAGGGGTTGAGGACCAGCCTGGGGGGCCTTGCTCAGTGAAGCGCTTCATAAATAAACACCGACGCTGTTCGTCCCAGGCTGACACAGACAGACGCACAGGCCCAGATGACAGCACCCGGAGCGCTGGTCGGAACCTACTGTCCCAGCGGCAGACACCCTGGGAGCCTGGCTGGGCGAGGTCTGGGTGGGTGTTTGGAGCCAAAGGACTCGCAGGCTTTGTGGGCCAAGCTGGGGGTCTTTGTGTGGGTTCTGGACTCCCAGGCAGAGACCTGTGCTGCGTTGCGGGGTCCCATAACTGGGGGAGCAGCTCCTGCGCTGTACAGGGGCAGTCCCCAGCTGAGGCCTCAGGAAGTGAGTACGGAGGGGTGCAAAGGACAGAGCTGCCCAGCACAGCGCGCCTCTGCTCGGTCCGGGCAGGCCAAGGGGCCGGCCAGTGGAGCAATTCCAGTATCGTCCAGGGGGGCGGGCTGGCTGCCAACTCCTGGAAGCGAGGCACATAAATCCTGGCTGATGGTCGGTCACCACTCACCTCTGGGCTGCTCCTTCAGGACAACACAAACCTGCTGGGGGCCTCATTTTTCAGCTGTGGATCCTGCTTAGGGACCTCTCGGTCCCCTTGCTGGTGGAGCCAGGTGTGGTCACTAAAGCAAATGCACTTTCCAGGTGGACCCAGGCTGCAGAAGGACTGCGTGCAGCAGAGTAGGGGGAGGCCTTGGCAACGGGAGTCAGGGGTGAGCCAGCGGGAAACCAAATAACAATCAAGTGCAAACACAAACAAAACACGCGAAAGCAGCAAGCTGTGTCATAAATATTGCAAAGCGCACTTGGTTTCTTTCTTTTTTTTTTTTCAAGTCAAATATAACAACCAATGTCCCAAACCCTGTTTTCAGCATTCAAAAGAGAGAAGCTGTTGCTATCAGCAGAACACCTGCAGCCATTCAAAGAAAAAAGAAAAACCGTTTTCCATCAGCCAGCCAATCAAAATCCTTTTCCAGTTTGAGCAGCCAATCGGACCTCTTCACGTTCCTAAAAAGTGACCTAAATAAAGCACCAGAGCTCGGGGAGCTTCCTGGGAAGCCATACACCCGTGGAGCAAATTTAAAAATAATTAAAAAAAAAAAAAAGTCAGAAATAAAAATAAAAGGTTTCTGTTGGTCAAGATTTAAAAATAAAAAGGTTTCTTCCTGCAGCCAATCATGAGTCTGTCCCTTTAAGCCAATCATAACTGCACCACTGGTGTTTCCCTCGATGCCAGCCCCGCTGAGTGGCGCGGGTGGGTGGGTGTAGGGGTGGGGAAGGTGACCTGCTGCCACTCAGCCAGACGAGGTCCACACGGATCTCTTGGCCCTCGCCAGCTTTCAGGATGTCCCGAGGGAGTCGTAGCTACTGCCTCCGGTCCTCTGTTTCCGACCTGGAAAACGCCATCACCACGTCCTCTGCACCTGCAGACCAGGGGGAGAGAATTGCTGCATGGGCCTCTGGCTTCGGGCTGCGACTTGGGACAGGCAAGGAGGCTGTGGCCCTCAGGTGCCAGGCGCATCACTTAGTGAGGTGCTTTCTGAGTACAAAGCGCTTCCAAGGAAGGCCAGCTCCCCTGTAGGCCTTCCCTGCAGCCTGGCCGGGGGTATGCCAGCAACCCTGCTGCAGGACTGTGGGGTGAGGGTCAGGTCTGCTCAAGGCTGCGCAGCTAAGCGGTGAGTGTGAGAACCCAGGTCTGCTGGTCCCGGAGCAGGGCCCTGCTCACATCTCTTGCTCCAAAGACACCAAAGCCAGGAGCCCTTCGGAACCTCCCTTTTTCTTCCTAAGATCCTGTCTTGATCCCTTTGGAGGCCCTTGCTCATCATGATTTCTTATAGCCTTTCCTCTTGGCCCAAACCCAACACCTGCTCCCACGAGCACGGCCAGGCCTGGTTCCAGTCCACGGTCGGCCTGGCTCCTACGGAGACAGATAATGGCTACAATCTTTATTATTGTTTTTAATCGTGGATTTGAGAATCTGGTCCAGGAACTCATGAAATCACTTCCTTTGTCTTGTTTTCCATAAGACAGGCCCTGACATGCAGCCAGAAAAGGCGGGGGGGGGGGGAGGGGGCCTGAAATTCGGCCCTGCTCCCCCACCCGAAGCTGCTGGGGAAGGAAGGAAGGGGCTGGCGGAGCCACAGACCCTGTAGGGCAGGTGAGGCGAGCCGCAGGCCCCACTGTGCCTCTGGCCCTGGCCCTGAGTCCTGCACTTTCTCCCCTTTTTCCCAAGGACAGTTCCCGAACAGTGGCTGGCGCCGTGGCCTTCCTGCGGCACTCCTCTCTGGGCTAACTGCAGGAGCTCTCCCTCCCGGAGGGGACTGGCGCAGCAGGCACAAAGGCCACAGGGCGAGCCCGTGGGAGTGAGCCTGGGACTGGGGCCTGTGAGCCGGAGCAGGGAAGAGGGCAGGATTCCGCCCTCCAGGCATGGAGCAGGCACTTCATCCACACCACAGGGCACTCTCTCCTTCACACCGGGGGTGTGTGTGTGTGTGTGTGTGTGTGTGTGTGTCCTAGTGACCTCCCTAACTTCCTGCCTCCCGGACAGTGGAGCCCCCCCCCCCCCCCCCCCCGCCACGGGTGCTGCAGAGGAGAACCTGTCCACAAAGCTGGAACATCGCAGAAAGGCTCCTTCAATTTGGCACCAAAGCACAAGGTGCTGTGACCACCCACACTGCTTGACGGGGTTCTGAACAGCTCGTTCGCCCTGGAAAGGGGAATGAGGTTCTGGAAAGGAGCTCAGATGGTCTCACTCCTTGGGATGGGGCTCCTTTGCTTGGGAAGCCCTACGACTCCTTCTCCTGTCTTCTTGGGGACATTCTGTTCTTCCCGCAGTCCCAGGACCACGCAGCATCACTGCAGCAGAGTTTTCCTAGCAACCGCAGAATCCATGATTGCATCATACCTTGCACGGCAGCTGAGCTGGGTACCTAACAGATGCCAGCCTGTCCCCAGTGCTGCTCCCCAGCGCGCTAACCAGCAGGGGGGGGGGGGGCTGGAGCAAGGCCAGGAAAGGGGAGCTGTCAGCACAAGCTGCCCGGCGGCTGCAGTGAGCTGTGGCGGCCGACTTGCTTCTTTCCCTGCCTGCCTCGGGGGCTTGCTCACAGGGACCTCGAGCCTCTGGACTGAGCTGCGGTCACACAAATAGCACCGGCTGCCCCAGGAGGGAATGAAGAGTCGACAGAGGCAATGGCCACTGGATTCTTGGAGGAGCCCAGACCCAGGGGCCAGGGCTCCTAGCACCACAGCTGCCTGGTGTGTGTACCAGGCTACACTGAGATGAGGAGGGAAGTAACCTCCTCAAGGTCACCTCCTCCAATGACTATGAACAAGACACCTGAAGCAGAGGATCTGCCAGAGCCCCGCCCGTGCCACACTGCCAGCTGGTCACCCGTCCTTGGCCAGGGCGGGGAAGGCTGGGAATCCGCGGGTCTCACTCAGAGCCACCCACTCGGCCGCTGAAGCCAGGTGCGGACAGGGCCCGTGAGCTCCGCCCACGCGAGACCCTGTTCTGGCCCTACAGAACCATTCTGTTTTCCAGGCCTCACCACAGGGGTGTGCGGTCCTCAGGCCCAGTGGGGGTGGGCTCTCCGACAGCATTCTCTGACCTCTCTTCACCACCAGCTGGCCTGGCACCCATCATTCAGCAAGTGCCTGACCCTGAACCTGGCAGGCCTCTAGGTGAGGATGCTCCCTTTCCTCGAAGGTATTTGAGCCAGTTACCTAACAGGGAGGGTGGCAGGCCTCTAGGTGAGGATGCTCCCTTTCCTCTCCTTTTCTCGAAGGTATTTGGGCCAGTTACCTAACAGGGAGGGTGAGCCATTCAGCTAGTTACCATGAGTCCAGCTGTTAGAGCTTTAGAGCCAGGAGGGACCTCAGAGGATGCTCAGCACAGTCCCTCCTTCTCCTTTGAAGGCCAGCATGAGGTGTCCCCCTTGGGTGTTCGCACCGTCATGGAATCGTGGGGCTCAGGACAGGCAGACACTGCAAAGAAGCCAGCAGGCCCAGCCCACTGCCTCTAGGTTAACTAGGCTTCCTGTCCCATTTTACAGAGGAGACGGTGTCCACAGCTGTGGTACTTCTGCCAACATTGTCTGGGCTCGGGCTCAGAGATCCTGTTTGTCTGTTTCCACCAGACGTGGGAAGAAGCTGATTGGTACCTCCTGTTTCATACACCCTGACATGTTAAAAGACAAAAATAGCCAGAACCAGACAAAAACATCACAAGAAAAAAGAACTGTAGACCAGAATCTCTTACGAATATAGATATTCATAATACCTGTGATATGTAAAAATACTAAAAAAATACTAGCAAACTGAAAAAAGCAACATAAAAATAATTACATACTCTGACCAATGAGATTTATTCCAGGAATGCAAGGTTGATTTAACATCAGAAGATCAATTAATAAATAGAAAAAAGGGTCCTGGCTGGTTTGGCTCAGCGGTTAGAGCGTCGGCCTGCGGTCCTGAGAGACCCGGGTTCGGTTCCTGCTAAGGGCACGTACCTCGGTTGCAGTTTGTCCCCGGCCCTGGTTGGGTCGTGCGGGTGGCAACCACTCGATGTGTCCCTTTCACGTCGATGTTTCTCTCTCTCTCTCTCTCTCTCTCTCTCCCTCCCACTCTGTCTGAAGAAAAAATGGGAAAATGTCCTCGGGTGAGGATAAAAAAATAAATAAAGAAAAAAGGACAAAAACCATACAATCATCTGAATAGACACAGAAAACACATCTAACAAAATTCAACACCTCTCCATGATAAAAATATCCAATACACCAGGAATAGAAGGAACTTCCTCAATCTGATAAAGGGCATTTACTAAAAACCCACAGCTGTTATGCTTAATGATGAAAGACTGACAGCTCCTTCCCTTCAAGATTCGGAGCAAGGCAAGGCTGCCTGTGCTCTTACGATTTCTATTTAACATTGTGTTGAAAGTTCTATCCAAGGCAATCAGGCAAGAAAAAGAAAAAACAGGCATCCAAATTGGAAAGGAAGAAGTAAAACTACATTTGTACATGACATGGACCTTATATATAGAAAGTCCTAAGGAGTCCAGTAAAAAACTATTAGAACCAATAAACAAGTTAAAGTTACAGGGCATAGGATCAATATACAAAAATCATTTGTATTTCTATACACTAGCAGTGAACAACCTGAAAATAAAATTAAGAAAACAATTTTGTTTATAATAGCATAAAAATAATAAAATTATTAGGAATAAATTTAACAAATGAAGTACAAAGTTTGTACTCTAAAACATCACTGTTTAAAACATCATTGAAAGAAATTCAAAACAATCCCTATCAAAATCTCTGCTCTTTTTTTTTCTTTCAAAACTTGACAAGCTGTTCCTAAAATTCACTTGGAAGCACTAGGATCCAGAATTGCCAAAATAACATTGAGCGGGAAGAACAAAGTTGGATTCACAGTTTTGGACTCCAAACCTCACTACAAACTACAGGAAACAACGGGGCAGCCCGGCATAAGGGTCGCCATGTAGATCAACTGACCAGAACTGTGAGTTCAGAAATGAAACCTCCCGTGTATGGTCACTTGAGTTTTAACAAGAGTGCCACGGCGACTCAGTGGGAAAAACCGAACAAATGGTCCTGGGACAACTGGATATTCACATGTAAAGAATGAAACTGGACCTTTACCTTGTACCACATTAAAAAAATTAACTCAAAATGGACCAATGGCCGTAAATGTAAGAGCAAGTTATTAAAAACCCTAAAAGAAAACATGGGAGTAAATCTTCATGACCTTGGTTAGGAAATGGCTTCTTAGATATGGTACTCAAAGAGCAAGCAGTAACAGAATAAAATAAGTAATTTGAGCTTTTTATGCTTTAAAGGATATCATCCAAAGAAAAGGCAACCCACAGAATGGTAGAAAATATTTGCAATGGGTTGAGCATCGACCCATGCACCAAGAGGCTGCCAGTTCGATTCCGGTCAGGGCGCATGCCTGGGTTTCAGGCTCGATCCCCAGCAGGGGGCGTGCAGGAGGCAGCCAAGGAATGTTGCTGTTTCTCTCCCCTTTCCTCTCTCTCTAAAATCAATTTTAAAAATTAAAAGAGAGAGAGAGAGACAATAACAAGTATTAGCAAGGATGTGGAGAAATCAGAACTCTCATTCATTGCTGGTGGAATGTCGAATGGCACAGCTCCCAAGCCTGCTCTACCCACCGCCTTCCCCATCTCGGCTGACGGCTCCTCCATTCCCTTGTTGCTCAGGTCAAAAACCCTGGTGTCTTCCTGATCCCCACCACATAGGTGCGCGTGCGTACACATTACATGCAACACATAGCAAACCCTCACCACCCTCCTGCACCCTGTCCTGGACCTCCTCACTCAAGCCCCTGGTCCATTTCCCACACCGCAGTCAGAAGGGAGTCCTTAAAAACACAGGTCAGACTTGCC